AGGATGATTGCTGCCGTAAGTGCTTTCTTCTATTGCCAGTGCTTTTTCGTAACATTCTTTTGCTTCATCAAATTTCCCGAGATGCACCAACACTGATCCTAAATTATTTAAAGTTGTAGCCACCTCAGGATGATTGCTGCCGTTAGTGCTTTCTTTAATTGCCAGTGCTTTTTCGTAACATTCTTTTGCTTCATCAAGTTTCCCGAGATCCACCAACACTGATCCTAAATGACTTAACGTTCTAGCCCCCTTAGGATGATTGCTGCCGTAAGTGCTTTCTTTAATTGCCAGTGCTTTTTCGTAACATTCTGTTGCTTCGTCAAGTTTTCCGATATCTTCCGAGATTTTTGCCAGACCATCTAAACAGTAAGCTATATACAGATGGTTATTACCCTTTCTTTCTTTGTTGATTTGAATTGCTTTCTCCAAACACTCTTGAGCCTTGTCATAGTTCTTAAGATCAATGAGGAGAAATCCAAAATTATTCAATAGCGCTGGATCGTCCTTCTCGATTTCCAATGCTTTTTCGAAACACTCTTTTGCTTTATCAAGCTCTTTCAATCTCCGAAATACAATTCCTAATAAAGACAAAACATCAACCATTTCTGGATGGTTACTTCCAAAAATTTTCTTCTTGATGGTTAACACTTTTAAACAACACTCTTTGGCCTCTACATCAGCAGACAAATGATATATATGGAGTACATTAGCTAATTGCAAATGGTCATCTTTGTAATTATGATCGAAAATACAGAATGATATTTCTAATAACCATCTAGCAATTAAATATTTGTCGTGTATTTGACACATTTCGGACACGGCATTCATGAGGAACTTGGCGAAAGGAATGTATTGATGTGTAGATGATACGTTCGCCCGATAGTGTACCCCATAAAGGTTTCYTTCATCTGCGGTCTTTATTAAAATATCATGCCGTTCAAAAAAGCTCTTCACTTTTTCCGAGAAGTAGATGAAGTGCTGGATAATCGGAGCTGTATCTTTAATGGCCTTGCCGGGATCATTAATGACGATACTCACGATGTCATTCATAGACGAAAACACTTCGGCGAATTTCATAAAAAATGAAAGTTCTTCTTCTGAGGTCTGGAATGACTTTTCATAGACAACTGATTGCAGAACATGATAGACGACTTGGTGG